GCATTCCGTTTAACTGTTTCCATCCATCTCGTATGCTTTTGCATTTTTTGGTCTATGTGTATGTGTTCTGCTCTCCGCATTTTACGCTTTGGCAGCGATCACTGAAGTTTTCCTCAGCGTATTTCACTGTACACGATGATGATGAATATCCATCAAATTTGAAATACATGGTCTTCAGAGTTGCACGATAAAGCCGCTTGATTATGACATCGCTTGAAACTATCAGTACAATCAGTCTTTCATTCACAGTATCCCAATTCATCCGATAGTCTGTTTACATCCGCCCTGTGAACCATCTGCGCGATTGATTTTTATGATCCATGTTCCTGCTCGTTTTCTATGCCACTTGTCGTTTGAATGCTGCCCTTACTCGTGCCACATTAACCGTTTGCCAGACACATTCCCATCAAAAAGAGGTATGATTGCAGAAAGTGTCACACGCGTATTTTTTACCATACTATCTGAGTTGAGTTCTAGAAACAAGTTTTTGATTTTGGACCAGGATGGAATATACGCAATCTATTNTACGCAATCTATTCTGATCACAACTTCGAGTTCGCTTACCCACTGGGCCCCTCACGATTAGTAACTCGATTGTTATCTAACTCATAGCGACCGCGTTTTGCCGGAAACAACATACGACTTCCTATCACCCTGCTCACCGCTCTTTTTCCCTGCATATGACCTGAAATTTGCGACGACACATGTTCAACGAGGGATGCACCTCTGCGTGCACTTATGGGCAATGTGGTATGTATGGGTTCAAATAGTTTGGTGCTTCCTATCGAGTACTCCAATCCACCTTCCGTTCTTAGCAGATCATTAGGCGGAAGAGGTTACAATCTCTTCAGACTGCCACACTTCAGGACACCCTTCGTTTCACTGAAATCGATCTGTTGGTTTGCAATGCTGTAGGCTTGTCTGTCTGTCTGATCAGTTTCGCCAATGAAAAGTTTCGTCTACTAAATTACTGAGGTGTGACTTTTTGGTTTGGTTCCTCTATGATGCTGCACTACATTACTAGCATAACAATCCACTTTACCGCATAGGTACCTGATCGCCTAGCAATTGTACTCAAAGAGACTAATAAGGGCCAAAGCCAGCTGGTGAAATCAACCGATTATTGGATTGTTCTCTGAGGTGAACCACTAGGTTCCCTGAATTTCTGACACCAGTAATACCCCTGTCGAAAACCCAGAAACAAAAGGGATGGTAATCCACCTACAAACCAGGATGTTGACATTTGTTACATAAATTGAACGGTGTCTCCAAGTGAACGAAGATGGTGAGGTTCACCGTAAGGAGAACTCGATTTAAACAACACATTACGATAATAACAGTGATGCATGAATCAAAATTCAGCTAAAAAACCCACACTTATAAGAGAATGCAGAATCCGGGCCAAGTTCATGATAGCACGAGCAACAATCAAATCACTCAGGATTCGTTTGTGATTGCTGTATTACGCGGTTGACCAAGGGCACTCACGGGACTCCCGTCAGTTTTCACAACCAGAGCATTCAGTCAATTAGTTGAAGTTTACTCCATGAGGAATGGTGTGTGAAAACCACTGTTTTTCGGGGTCGGAGCCTGATCAGACGGATTTCGCATTCACCACCTGTTACTCACTTGTACAGAATACGCAAATTTTCTAAAATCAAATTTCCATCTCCGTGTTGGGTCATTGCATAACTTGGGTTGACTGTGATTCTTGTACTATACATGTGATACTGTGGAGTAACTCTATTAGTATTTCAATAACGATATTGCTAAAATATATCGAATAGGTTTATAGTTTATCAATCCGATCCGTTGACGGGAAGGGCAACGGTTCTGTGAGGTATAAGGAAATGGCAACATCTGCTCTTGATTTATACGTACTTTGTCCCGACCATCAGGACAGTGATCTACACAAGGCCACATTCGCAAACGTAAGCTTTTACGCCGGATAGTATCCAAACTGTCTACTTCATACAAAATGTGACCTTGGTGGATATCATTTCCAAATCCTTTCAATCCATCGTTTATCGTCTTAATCGTTTTTCTATCGGGTCAACCCAGGTATACCGGCTTACGTTAAGCCCGCAATCGGTGTATGGTAGAACGCCCATATCACCTGACTGCATTCCCCAGTTCACCTTTGAATCGCAAAGCCTCATTGCGATCTCAACGTGAGGATTAACCCTGTTTGATTGTTTCTCCTTCCCTCTTTCTCCTGACTTACCTGAACCACATGTTGAATATGCAGCTGTGTTGCAAACATTTATTCACACACGGAATTCTCCTCATAGGTAATCTTCATTTTACCTATCCCCTCTCCCCACGTCCGCACGTGTTGCACATCCTTCAGTTATGATTCGGTTGGCCGAGCGATGTGATTTGGGGTGTTCTACACAAAGACCCGCCATGAATTTCGAACAACGTTTTTTATCATCATACGTGCATGGGAACTAGGGTAGATCGATTAGAGTATGCACTTTTCGTAGAAGCCACCAGTCCTACCACCATCCACCAACCATTCATCCCCCGTGAATGATTCATGAGTTTACTTTAAAAAAAGGAATATAATAATGCACTGTAGGATTAAAATCTTTATCTTTTCGGTTGTGTTAGGCTCACTTCTAGACTGCACTTAAATCAAGCAGCTGTCAGTTAGTTGCCCTTGTGCACCTCCTTATCTGGCCTTCGTTCATTTTATTCCTCCCTTGTTAATATCCAACCCTCTCCTCCACCGCCTCTCCCGTCCACCACCGCCTTTCGATCGGATTTGACTCGAATCACTCCGGGACGTGTGTAGTCCGTGCAGCGCAGTGAACCGCAAGTCGAGACCGAATCATTCTATGATGAGAATGGCAAACTGATTCGACGCACGATCAAACGTTCCGAGGTGACCACAACAAAGACTGTGAGTGAACGTATCATCGCCGGGACCATAGATCCGAACCATGTAAGTTCTCTCTGTCTCACCCACTTCCGACCCTGCTCCATCCCGTCTTGTGTGACACTTCGATCGCAACTTCATACGGTGCTCATCATCATCGAGTACTCGTGAAACAGCACTCCGCATGTCCGTACGTGCTCAGAGCTGCTCATTCCTCTGTTTACCTTTTCCCCCCTCTCTCTCCAGTGTTTCTCAGCACTGAACTATTCGTGCTGAGTCGCGATTGTCGAATACATCCATATACTGTTCTTACAGCCTTGCAAATTTTTCAAATTACAATCAGGAGAATCTGAACGTATGCTTTATGTAGCGCGTTCAATGACTCAAAAACCTTTTCTCTTATTCGGCATTCAGTATAAAGACAACCGTGGGTAGAATATTTTACGACCTCTAGCTAATACCCCATGAAGCACCCAGTAAAGAGTTATCATCGCTTGTGGGATCATGGATAACTGTAAATCATTCATATCAATACCTGTCTCATTTAATAAACTGTAAATGATCGCACAGATGTAGTCAGTGTGAGAAGATGCAACGGGTTGAGCAATGATATAAAGACAAGAACCTATGCAATGAAGCTGAGAATCGAAGGGAAGAGATGCAGGTAACTGATTGTTGCCACTAGCATTGTGGATGGAATGTATTTATCAGCCAGGGAATGACAGAGAATAAGCATGATTTATGTTAGCCAGTGAACAGGTCCGAATTTGATCTTATTATTCAGGTGAAATTCTGCCAATTCTTTCACTGTATCCTTGTATCATTGCTAATTATCTTGTCAAGTGTGCATTTCAGTGCCAGAAATATGCAGCCGATTGCATTTCGTTCAAAGGAATCGGTTTTATTCAAGAGAAATTCGGTCTCAATGGAATTTACTCATTGGGTTATTCAGGGCCTAGGCTGAATCCACTCATACGGTGAATCATACTAACATTCACGCCTAGGCATAGTGACCGATTTATCGATCCATCTTGAAGTGATTCGTTTCCTCACCCGACCGACAGAGGTCAATTAACTCTGGGTTCGTTCATTCGTACCTATGACGCACACTCGATCAACGATCACGAACATAACGTTCCCGAGTGGAACGAGTGTGTGTGGGGAGGGGGAGAGACGAGTCCCTCTCACCTCACCGAAACTTTCACTCTCGCTCGATAACTCACTCAAAAAGTACTTCTGTTTGTTTACGGAGAAGTTAGTTCATTCGGACTGGACAGGATATAGACAGACCCGGTCCAATCAGTGACGTTTGACCGCCGAAACACCAATAATCTTCTGGGGTTCTTCGTGGAATGTGATTAGTTGGATTCACTTGAAGTTACGACGGATTTACTTGTAGTTCTGACAGAGCAGTAAGAACAATGTGGAGCGCAGAAACGCAATCGAGTCTATCGACAGTAGTAGTGGACGACAGTTCTTCGTATACGAAGCAAATGATACGAAACCTGAAAGTATGGTCGTAGACTTCCGTTCTCCTCAAGAGTTCCTATGTTCTGGACTGCTTAAAATGCTTATCGGATTGAAGAGCAAGCTCTCCTCCACATTTCTAATCCCAGCCAAATAGATGATGGGTATCATCGGTCGACTGGTCGACTGATTCAGATCTCCGATATCTGAGCTCTATGATTCTTCCAATTGGTAAGGTCAGAGAAGTTCAGCTGCACATAAACAGTGCATAAAAGGGTATTTCTGCATCTGTCGAAACCGCGTCGGGTTCACAGCGAGATCTGTCTTCAGTTTACCACTCGCTCAATACTGACCAGTGATTGTGAGACGTGACCGCTACTTTTTGCTGTTGTCGAACGAGAGTTGTTCTACCATTGGTGTTTACGGCGAATCGCTTGAGTTCACTGGAATAACGAACTGACCAAATACTGTCGAGGAAGAGGCTATTGTGACATTGAGTGGTTCCTGCTGTATCTACCACGAAAATGATTGCAATGGTGCGCTTAGGCTTTGCACCGACCCTTTACCGTGCGTAGAAAGATACTACTGTTCTCCTGACCATTTAAAATGTGGCTGAATGTTGATGGTTTGGATCTCCGGTCTGCATGCAGTATACGCCGCTGAAACGGAGACTGTATCTCAGTTCCAGTATCATCTCCCATCACAGTTAATGGGCCACTGCTGTCCGAAATATCTGTGAGGCTAACTTATATCAGATTTGGTTAATTCCCCCTCAAAGTGGTCCCTTCAATCTGCAGATATCGATCTCTCGAACCAATATATTCTCGGTTACCCTAATCACAGAGTCCAGAAGGAGGACCGATGACTGATTGATGTCTTCCATATCACCGAAATTTAAGGCAACAACAGAATACTCCTTCCACTTAGTTTGTCAGAGTAAAACAAGTTCCGGAGAACATTTTGAATATTCTTTCTTCAAATACAATCTAAACGATTGTGCTAGTTTTGTTTGTTTGTAGTTTAGTGTAGTCGGGTTGTGCTGTCTCAATTTGAGTTTGGCACTACTTTGGATGGCGCCAGCTGATTTCTGTTGATTCACAACCACGGGAATCAAGTCGCCTGGGTCGCTCCGGTCGACAACACAGCCGAGGTCACTGTTTTGTGCCTACCAGGTGCAAGCGGGAAGGATGCTAGGACAAGGTCGCGTGAGAACACGTCGACAGTTTCCACTACATAAGGCAAGTGGATCTGCTAATTGTATCAATCAGTCAATCCGAGCGATTTGTTAGCCCATCCCAGATATTTGGATACCGGAATACGATTGCCCGTGATTCAGTGGTTGAGTAGGTTGCGCGTGATGCTCAAGTGCGACGATGTGAGCGCGACCGATACGCGATGACGCGCGACCCAGTGCACATCTGTCGTTCTTCATGAAATCGTTTAAACAATTAGGATAAAAAAGGCTTCAATCTTATCTGGCAGTCCTTTGATTTGCAATGATTCGATACCCACGAAAGTAGAACCAGCGGTACACTGACCACTTCTCAGCTTCACGGTATGCCTTTCTGTGGTCCTGTTTAAGGTTAATTTCTCTTTTCGACCTCTTGTTGAACTTCAGTT